CTGACATTTGTATCATAACTTAGATGTATATATCTATTATGTTTAACTATTTACAGACTTCATCTAAAAAATAATACTCATGCAATAAAAACGGTGAAGTGTATTGAAATTGGTTGGATGCATTTTGATTTCAATGTGTGCAGATATAGACAAGTAAGTGCAGTTAGGCGCAAGAGTATATTATGTTAATCTTCCTAAATTTCTTTTAATTTTACCATTTAAAGTAGTCTTTAATTTTCTATTATTATTAATTAACTGCTCAGATCAATTAGATATATTGGAATATATTATTTACATTATAGCTGATACATTCTATACTTTCTTAAGGACTTTCTATGCATTTTATTCAAATAAAAATAAAAATTTTATTATATATTTATACAGAATAGTAACAGCAAGACAAATCAAATAACTTTTTATTTTTATTTTCTATATCATTTATTGACTCATGTGCAGCGTATAGTACAACATTTTTTATTTTTATTTTTTTAATACTGAACATTTCAAAATAGCAATTTGTAAATCTGGTTTTTAGAAAAGTTGATTGTAAAAACATTTGTTAAGGTTAAGTGGTTTATTTTTTATTATTTTTAAAAATGTCCAGGTTGAAAAAATATTTGATTTTCATCAAGCACCTATTTAAAAATTCTCTTAAAATATTTTTAAAATATGTATAGGTACTTTTTGAATTTAAAATGTGTTTTAAAATTTGATCAACTTTACTTAGGTAACAAAAATAATGAGATTTCAAATAATTGTAAAAATGTAAGTACATGACGTAAGATTATAATATATATTATTTATTCTTTTTACAATGACGAAAATTAGCAAATTATTTTGAGTTAAGAATTCGCAAAAATTTTTCTTTTTAAATCTAAGATTTTAAAATGTAATACAAGATTACTTATAAGATTATATACCTTTATCAAAAAAAAGGCCAAATGAAAATCAAATTAAATTTTTATGAGCGCTTGAAACTCAAATTTTTACAACATTGGATATTCACTCGATTTCTCATGTAGCGATTTCTTTATTTTGTTGTAATTCAAAAATGAATAACTGTAGATACATGAAAATTGCACTCAATGTTTATATTAGCATTTCCTACACACCCTACAATTTTGAAAATGTTTTGACTCTTTTTGAGCTGTTTACGGACATTTTCAGTTTTCAATTTTTAGATTCTGAGCGGAGCGATGAATGTATTGGTTTTACAATGATGTATGTTTTTATATTTTTATTTATATTTTTATATTTTTGTGTCTGTCATCACGTTTTAGGACGGTAAAAGTGCTTCGATTTTCTTCAATAGTACCTTTTCTGATAGGAAAGTGAATCTAGTTGGTACTTTGGGGGGTCAAAAGTATAAATTTCCCAGTAGTTTTCACAAGCGCCGGGAAAAACAACATAAAAATTAAGGAAAAACGGGAATTTTTACGCAAAATTGGTTTTCCAAAAAATCGATTTTGGTTATTGGTGTAACTCTAAAACAAATGAACGTATATACATGAAATTTTCACTGGTTGTTTATATTTGCATTTTCTATACACGATAACATTTTCAAAATATTTTGATTTATTTTGAACTGTTTAGGGACATTTTCATTTTCCATTTTTTTTTAGTTTTTTTTCTAAAAATATCAATAAAATTTTATTTGTTGGTTGCGAAAGCTTGAAAATTTTATAGAAGGCTCCTAATATATTGTTTCAAAGGCAGATGAAAAATATTAAAAATCCTTAGTCACAATTTTTTTTTATAAGCATTTAAAGTTCAAAAATTGACAAAATATGGAAAAATCACGAAAATACGATTTTTTTTTATAAGCATTTAAAGTTGGAATTTTGACAAAATTTATCAAAATCTCGAAAATAATTAATCGTTGGAATTAAAAAATTATAAAATGTTCAGTTTTTATAACTAAGAGTTGAAAATTTAAAACAAAGATTCTCTTAAATAATTCATACTGTAACCAAAAAATCTAAAAAATATATAAACACACTTATTTTTTACAGACATTTTAATTTCAAATTTAGACAAAATTTCATATTTAAACCAAGAATTACGATTTTAGTTATTTTGTTGTGATTGTATAATATTATTCGTGGGTACTTGAAATTTCTAAAGTAATCTACTATATATATCTATGATAGTATCAGGGTTTGTTGTTGGTATATAACGCGTTATAAGTACCTAATGGATATTGTGATATGATTAATTTGGAATTCATTATAGGTCAATTTTTTTTAATACCATAGATATGTATATAATATGTCTTATACCTAAAAGGACATACCGTCTCCGCTCGGAATCGTTTTTCTTATACAATGATATTATATCATTGAATTCAAATTTAATACCATCCATTATACAATGACCCACTTGTAACCTACCGTACAGCAGAGCGACACCCACTTGCCCACCTTTTTTTTGGTTTTTTTTCTATAAATATCAATTAAGTTTTATCTGTTGGGCCAAAAAGTGTAAAAATGTAATACAAGGCTCCTGATATATTGTTACATTATCAGTTGAAAAATATTTAAAATACATAGGCACAATTTTTTTTTATAAGCATTTAAAGATCGAATTTTGACAACATTTATAAAATTTAAAATTTAATAATTATTTTGTTGTTAAAAATTTATAAAATGTTCGACTTTTATATCTAAGAATTGAAAATTTAAAACAAGATTCCACATAAGTAGTTAATTCTGTTACCAAAAAATCTAATAAATACATTAGCACAGATTATTTTTATAGTCATTTTAAGTTCAAATATGGATGAAATCACATAATTAGAAACATAGAATAACTATTTTAGTTATTTTGTTGTGATTGTATAATATTATTCGTGGGTACTTGAAACTTCTAAAGTGTACTATTATACATCTATGATAGTATTACGGTTTTTGTTAATGTATAACGCATTATAAGTATCTAATGAAATTGATACTTGATTAATAAAATTGATTTGCGCTTATGAGTTATTAAAAAGGTAACTCTGTTTTGCGCTTATGGGTTATTTATTTTTGCGCTTTTGTGTTGCGTTTTGTCATATTTTGCGCTCATGAGCTACAGCCGGAATCAAACTACCCATTGGCTTTCGCTATGAAACTTTAAAGTTTAAACCAGGGACCAGAACCGGAGCCGTTTTGATATTAGAGTCAATCGACCTATTGGCTATTATCAAACTTTTAGGTACCAACAGTATCTGTGTTCTCTCGTTGGTTTTTTACGATATTTTAATTTTTAAGTGAGTTATGAACATTTTAGAGTATGAATACTTCACATACCCATAACTCACTTAAAAATTAAAATATCGTATAAAACCAACGAGAGAACACAGATTATGTTCTTATCTAAAAGTTTGATAATAGGTCGATTGACCCTAATACAAAAACTGACAATACCCTATTGAAACTAGCCAACGAACATTTGCTATGTCGTATGTGTGACGTGTGTAAGACGGAGACAACACATGCAACGTCCTCTTAAACGTATTATATTTATTAACCGTGATGCGCGATCACCGGGTGCCAAAATGACATGAGACGCTCGTCTGTATAGTCCATCCTTCGTCATGTAAAAATTTAATAATACCTTGTGGACTACGAGTTGATTAAAATATTCACCACCAGGATTACCTGGCATACAGCGGGCGTAAATTTTTTGTTGTTAAACACGATTAAGTCGAACCGTGTAAAGGCCGGAGGTTGCCAGTAAATAAAATTGTAGCTCGTCGATCTTGAAATTCCGGAATAATTCGATTCTACGGACCGTGCTCTATGTATGTAGTTTTCGTATAATAATTTATTTTTTTCGTGTGGAATATAAAGAACGGTGTGCCGTGTGGTACATAAGCTAAAGAGAGATATATGATGATACAATAGTAATAATATACGCTGATTGTTTCGAAAATTAGTCGAAATGAAAATTATTTTACGGGACCAAAAACAAACACTTATTATCCATGGGACAACTAGATATATTGTTTGAACGCGTTCCGATCGTGACAGAACAATAAACAAAGGACCAATTTGATTATTTCGTCATGATTTTTATGTTTTAACTTATAACAATGGTTCGGCTATCCCGCCCGAAGAAATTCGTTCAAGATCTGGTGTTTCGAAAAACAGTCAATAGATGGCGTTGGCGAGCATACTCGTCGGTTGACCGCGGTTAGGACGCGGATAGCCGGGCATTTAGTTAGCATTGTGACCCTAAGTTTTCCCAGACGCACCGAAGTCAAAAGTTTTCACCGCACGCGTACTGCACACTCACAGACCTCATCACGACTTGGTAACCGGGATAGCGGTGTTGTGTGAACACCAGCCTGGCTGCACGGCGTCGTGACCGCGCCGATTGTATAAAGCTAAGATCAAAGTGTAGTATCTGTTCTTATCAGCTTAACACCGATTAAATTACAGCATAACATGCACTACGGTCTTGCCAGTCGCCGGGTATAACCCGATCTGTTCTGTCTGTTCTATCTGTTCTATCTGTGTTACTTCTATGTGCTTCCCTACCTGTTTACTCCGGTGTTTTTTATTTTATTGGTTATTGGATTTGCGCGTTGAAACGACCTTTACCTTCGCTATGCTTTTGTACCCGGTCAGCCGGAGTACCGCGCCCACGTGCTGAGCCAGCCTCCGGTAATTGGAGGTCGTATACGACCGAAATCACCCGGAGGTAGAAAGTAAGGCCTAGGTCGCTTCAACAAAGTGGCGTAACTCCACTATAAAAAATAAGGAGTAGCCGGCATCTACTAAAACTGCCCGTAGCGCAATCTACGTTAAAAATACGTGGGGTGGCACACCTTAAAGATGCGGAGTCCCTCGCCCTGAACTAGGCCATACTCCGCTGCCAAAACCGTGGCGTAACACACGTAAAACATACGACGCATTTTTCACTCTAATAAACACTTAGCTCCCATACGGAAGACTACCCGCCAAGCTGCGGCCACCCACACGGGGCGGTGAAAGGTGACCTACCAACTGTCTCCTATGCCTGCCACACGTGCTCACACCGGGAGCAGCCAGGTTGCCGGTCCATCCTCCCGACAAGACGCCACCACTACAGGAACACCGTCAAGGCTGCCGGTTCCGTCAACGACCACGCAGCGAAGGAGGGCGACCAGTCAGCAATCAGCGGACCCACACACCAGCTCAAGTATAACAACCAGCACGCCCACTAGGCGAGTGACGGCACCAACTTCGACTGCCACAACCACGTCACCTACAGCTCGTAGACAGCCAGTCCTATCGGACCTCGAGCTCCAGTTCTTCTTCCCGGCACCACAAACCCTGAAGTGTCCGGTAGAGGGCTGCTCCGCGCAATTCCGGGCCGAAGCATGGACGGCAGCGAAACAGTCAGTGACCCGACACGTCAGAAGCATGCACAACATCAGCGTCGCCATCAACGTCCACTGCTCCGGCTGCGATGTAAAGCTGGGCGTAAGACCAGGCTCGCATAAATGCACGGTGCTCATCGCAGTCGACGTGGCGACGACGGCCCGATTTACATGCCCCATCGACGGTTGTGAAAAATCCTACCCATCCAAACAGGGCCTAGCGAATCACATCAGAAACCATCGGCGGCAAGACGCCGTCAACGCGGCAACAGTTCCTATGCCTCGGCCGGCCACAAGGCAACAAAGACGCGTAGACCCACGTCCTGCACCACGACGTGGCGGCGACGCACGCGTCCCTGTACTTCAAGTTGCCGATGCAGGCGTTCGAAATAACAACGGGCGTCCAGAGCCAAGGACACCTGGACGCGTATTTACGGATGCTACTCGAGACTGGCCAATAGATCCCAAATTCGTGGCTAATTTTTTTATAAGCATTTAAATTCTGAATTTTGACAAAATATATCAAATTTAAAATTTAAAAAGTTGGGTAAGTGGTTGTCACTCTGCTGTACAATAGGTTACAATTGGGTCACTGTAATGAATGGTGTTAAATTTGAATTCAATGATATAATATCATAGTATTAGAAAAACGATTCTGAGCGAATACGGTCAGCCTATGATATTACTAAATATATTTGATGATATTATTGTCAATAAAGTAATTTATATATATAACCTATTTACGTGAAATCTTGTTTCAAATTTTCAATCCTTAGCTATAAAAGTGGAAAATTTTATAAATTTTTAACTACAAAATAATTATTAAATTTTAAATGTGATACATTTTGTCAACATTTGAACTTTAAATGCTTATAAAAAAATTCTGCCTATGTATTTTTAATATTTGTCAACTGCTATTGTAACAATATATCAGTAGCCTTGCATTAAATTTTCACGCTTCTTTACACAACAAATACAATTTTATTGATATTTAATGAAAAAAAACTAAAAAAATTGAAAACTGACAATGTCCGTACAACTCAAAAATAGTCAAATTATTTTAAAAATTGGATGGTGTATAGAAAATGCTTATATAAACATTCAGTGAAATTTTCAAGTATCTACAGTCATTCGTTTTTAATTGCAATAAAATAAGGAAATCGTTACATGAGAAATCCAGTGAATATCAAATGTTGTAGAAATATGTATTTCAAACGCTAATTAAAATTTAATTTGGCTTTCTTGTTGAAATTTTTTTTTGATAAAGGTATACAAACTTATGAGGAATCTTGTATTAAATTTTCAAATCTTAGATCTAAAAAGAGAATTTTTATAAATTTATAACTCAAAATAATTTGCAAATTTTCGTCATTGTTACGTATTTTGTCAATATTTGAACTTTAAATGCTTATAAAAAAATTGTAATTATGGATTTTCAATTTTCATCTGTCATTGAAACAATTAACAAGGATGCTTGTATTAAATTGTCAAGCTTTTTTAACCAACAAATAAAATTTAATTGACAATCATAGAAAAAAAACTAAGCAAACTGAAATTTAATAATGTCCGTAAACAGCTTAAGACAAGTCAAAATATTTGGAAAATGTTATGGTGTATAGATAATGCTAATATAAACATTCAGTAAAAAATTCATGTAACTAAAGTCATTTGTTTAGGAGTCGCACCAAAAACCAAAATCGATTTTTTCGAAAACAGATTTTGCGTACAAAATCCCGTTTTTTCTTTTGTTTTTCACGGAGCTTTTGAAAACTACTGAGAAATTTTTACTTTTGACCCCCTAAAGTACAAACTAGTTTCACTTTCCTATCTTGAAGAAAATCTAGGCATTTTTACTGTCCTAAAAAGTGATGACAGACACAAAAATAAAAAAATAAAATTAGAAAGAAACACACATTATTGTAAAATCAATACATTCATCGCCCAGCTCAGAATCTAAAATCAAGAATTTATAATAATATATTTTTGAGTTATAGACAACCTAAAATTTAAATAATTTGAAAAAGAAACAGATGAGTATTTAATAGTTAAACCAAAAATGATACCTACAGAGTAAAATCCTTTATAAAGTTAACGTAAAATATGCAAATTGGTTCAGTTGACACTTCAAAAAATGTTTATACACAATTTGAAAGTATGTCTACATACTATGTCAATTAGTTTTTTTTAAGTATTTGTATTTTCAGCGGTGAATTTTCTAATTGGATGGAAATTATCATGTGACATGCCCACCCAGCAATATATATTATAATAATTGTCCTTAAAAAATGTTTAAATAATGTATAATTTAATTAATTAAATTTAATTCACTCTTTCACCAGAAAATATGCTGAAGTAGAAAATCGAATCATTTTTACTATTCCAAAAGTAGATGACGGACAGAAAACAAAACACACATCATTTAAAATCAATCAATTATTTCACTATTTTAAGAACTATACATACTAAAATATTGTATTACATAGGCTAGTAAATAATTGTCATAAACCTTTAAAAAATTAAAATACAAAATAAGAATAAAATGTTGATAAATTTATTTACATTTATATATGTAGAATAATAGAAAACTAGTTTGTAAATTGATAAATATATGCTATAATAATTATTTCGAAATTAGATTATACATTTTATTATTAATCTCTATATAAACTATAAACAACTCATTTGGTTATGTTACCAGAAACACCAAGTCACAAACCAAATTATTGTAGGTATATAATTTCAAATTTGTGGTGGTACAAAATTATTTATATCGATTATATATAGAAATAGCTAGGTACCTACTATATATAAGTACATAATATTTAATAACCGTTAACAATATTTTTGTATTTGGACATGTATTTAATCCAGGGTGTCGACCCTTTTGATTGTATACTATTCTCTCCCATCATCAGCATTCCTTTCAAAATATTAAGCTTCATCAAAACGTCGTAGTTCTTTTGAATTGTTTCGTAAACCGAATTTATATGTTCCGATACTCTGTCGTACACTGTGTTCAAAATCATCAGGTCATTACCTTGATTTTTCGATAAAATCGATGGATCTTCGTCGACCTTGCATTCTTTTGAATAGTCGAAATCGTGGACCGCGTTCATTACAGTAGATGATGGTAAAGTCGCGGTTTCCTAAATAATAAAACAATACGGTTCTTTAGGTACAAATATACAATTTATAAAATTTATTCACACAAGATGTTATGTTATAATGAGGAGTAAGGTCCTAACTATTGGTAGGCATAGGTGCATAGGTCAACTTTTTGAGGGGGCTAGAATTTTATCTACAGTTTTATCACCCCTTTTCCCCTTAACTAATATACCCACTAGCTACTAACAATACACAAATAATAAGTTAATATAAAACAAAGTAGTGAATTAAATAATAATTACATAACTCTAAAAATTTTTAATTCAACTTTTACTCAAATAGTCAAATACAAAATGTACAATGTACATACAAAATAATATTAATTATATAAAATAATATAAAATCAATAATTATTTTCTATTAGTTGCTGAAAATGTACCAATAATAATTGTTTTTATGTCAAGACTATTATAGTTACATATCTTTTGATATTAATACATTTGAAAATCGTTATTGTCTCATTGTCTGACAAGCTTTTAATCACTGTATTGAAGAAAATGAACGTTTTCAGGTTGCTCAACTAACAGGTATAGTGAAAGCTACTTGTAGCAATTTATATAAATTTGTGTAGGTACACACCTTCAGTAACTACTTGTTTAATATCATCAATCTCAACATTTTCTTTAATTTTAACCTGGCAATTTTTGGCAACAAACTATTTTTCTTAACACCAAAAAGCATAATTCATAACTAGATGAAATAGTTTTTTTTTTAATGTATAAATATATTGAAGTACAATATTTGTTTTGAATTAATTTCAAACGAACACGTTCCCTTCGGAATAGAAAAATGCCTCCACTGTATTCTTGCAGCTGACGGTCCAAAGGTGGAGACACGCCATTTGTTTTGATATTGTATATTTCTCTTTAACTTTGCTCAAAGACTCAATGTGTGCCCTTTATCGGATCAACAAAGTTCTCACCATATTATGATTCACTACCTCATGAAAGTACCTATCCATAATTTTGCAATTTAGAAAGGCCCTCCCTCCAATCATCACTGTGTATAGTTGACCCACATTCAACTTCTCTTGTAATAATGCGTACTGTAGTGTTTGATGGTCTCGTTTTGGAACAATAAAAAATCAGCATTGTACCAAAATCTCTCCATCGCGACAACATAATCCAAATACCAATGGGCATTGGGCTTGGGGCGTTAACACTGATTATTGTGTTGGTATAAGGTATAATTTTTGAATAAATTATGGTAATTTTCAATTATAGTCTTAAAAACTTTGGTCGATGAGTATATTGTGTCAAATATTATTTATCTTAATTAAACCGATAATAAATAACAATCATATATTCAAATCTTGCTATACCCATAAATATATTTTTTTAAATAAGTTCGGTCAATGTGTCAAACACCAAGGCCATGTAGGCGGTAGATCACTAGGTAGACCATATACGTAAAACGTAACCATAGTACTATAATATTTTATCATATATTTATTGTTTTTAAATCTTGTAAGTTGTAGGGTATATAAGTATGAATTTTATAATTACGGAGAATCAAAAGTTGGCAAACTTATGTTAACAGTAATTTACATTTTTGAAGGACTTTACACCCGGTTTGATTTATAAATATTGAATATAGAATATTAGTTTATTTCTGTAATTCATATTTCAATAAGATACAGAACTGAGAGCGTGTGGTTTGGCATACCTACTAAATATTTATATAACTTTATTATGCCATTTCATGTTGTATTATTATTATACATTTTTTTTTTTTATTAAAATCTATCCTTCATCTTATTTCATGACAAAATATTTAAGCAATATTTTATTCCTAAAATGACACCAGTGGCAAGTGAAATGCACAATGAAATTATGGAGGCTTTGAAGCATATTGTATATTATAAATATTTGTACCATCGTACCCTTCATTGAAGCAAAATTAGAAGTAGGGGCCATTAATAATTATTAATTATAATATTTGCCATGATATTTGTGTTGAGGTCTTACGATTATATATAAATTTATACACCCACCCACCCATTTCAGACATGAAGCAATTGCTTCAAATAATCCTATATCTCGCCGTCACTGAATGACACTAACTTGACAGTTCAACAGTTGTTTAGGTATATAGCCATATAGCTACTTACTAAAAAGTAAAAACTCGTGAATGATTGAAAATATCCCATCCTTGACAACAAATTCTACTAATTTGATAATTCTTATAACACAGTGTGGCTAATTACCTGACATTTGTCAACCTATCTATACAATAAACAGAAAACAAAAAATTAAAATACCTATATTCTATCTAGTATCCAGTTTCGTGTTCCGTCCTATCCTACCAGAGATCATAATCCTCTTTAAGTTCCATCCCACTCTTCTTCTTATGGTTACAATCACCCTATGCATCATATTATGCTTCGAGATTTTAGTAATGCCTTGTAACTGCTGCTTAATTCTTGGGCCACTTATGTTTATATATATATTTATAATTCTTTTTTTATCTATGCACATTTTAATTCCAATCAATTTCTGTAATTACTATATAAACATAAACTGTATAATATATCCTTACATTATATATCTAATTTCCCAATTGGGCGTGACTTAATTAAAATAAAATAACGTTCAAAATATAATAACAATAAACGGAAGACATCCAATAACGTTTGATAATACAATAACGATAAACATTAAAACTATACAACGTTTAAATATCCGAAAACGTAAAGCAGAGATAGGTACATCATTGTAAATTATGAGTTGACAAATGTTATAATATAATGTTGGTAGGTACCCACATATAATTCCTCCATCCTACCTATTCTGGTCACTCACCGATATTTGTGCAGATTTATCCTCGTTGAGTATGTGAAGCATGCCCAGTAATTTCTTCACGTCGATTTTGTCCAAGATGTCCAAATTGGGAGGAGGGATGACCGTGGTCGGATTTTGATCGACAAGGCTGGCGGGTTTGAAATTCGTCAATTGGCTTAGCCGACCCACAGGCATGGTACCGACCTCTGCGAAAATAACGCAAGTGAACATTAACTCATAAATCATGATGATCGCAATCATAATATTATGTTTCCTTAGAAACTGAACTAGTACGTAGGTAACGGAAAAGCGTTTTGCCAGTCCGGATATTGTCTGCAGGTCAACACCGAGTGAAGAACGACATATTATTTTTATGCAAAATACAGAACAACGTGTTTCGATTTACAATATGCCGTTCTTTATACCTATTGATCATTGTAGAATTATTAAACAAGTATAGTTGCTATAACTCGCATATAGGCTAATCAATTAGGCATTGGCACACTGGCACACTAATATAGAGAAGCATTTATATTAATTCACAATAATAATTAATAACTATAATAGTATAATACTTATTACTTAATACCTATATAGTACCTACTTACTAACTTACTTATAATTTAATATAAAATAATATAATATTATGTGATACGTATATCAAATTATTGAAACTTACATTTTCAAATCCTTCAAACTATTTTAAAATTAAATCTCAATATTATCATTATTACATTATTTTTAACAACTGCATGGTAAAATAGGTGGGTAAATGGATGTCACTCTACTGTACAATAGGCTACAGTTGGGTCATTGCAATGGATGGTGTTAAATTTGAATTCAATGATATAATATCATTGTATAAGAAAAACGATTCTGAGCGAAAACGGTCAGTCAGTCTATGATATTGTGAAGAATATTTGATGATATTAAGGTGAATAAAGTAATTTATATATAACCTATTTTCGTGGAATCATGTTTTAAATTTTCAATCCTTATCTATAAAAGTTGAACATTTTACAACTACAAAATTATTAATACATTTTGTCAAAATTTGAACTTTAAATGCTTATAAAAAAAATTGTGACTATGGATTTTTAATTTTTTTCATCTGCTATTGTAACAATATATCAGGAGCCTTCTATTAAATTTTCAAGCTTTTTTACGAACAAATAAAATTTAATTGACAATCATAGAAAAAAAACTAAACAAACTGAAATTTGATAATGTCCGTAAACAGCTCAAAATAAGTCAAAATATTTGGCAAATGTTATGGTGTATAGAAACTGCTTATATAAACATTCAGTCAAAATGTCATGTACCTAAGGTCATTTGCTTCATTTGCTTAAGAGTTGTACCAAAAACCAAAATAGATTTTTCGTACAAATTCCCGTTTTTCTTTAATTTTTCTTTTGTTTTTCACGGCGCTTTTGAAAACTACTTTAAAATTTTTACTATTGACCCCCCAAAGTACCAACTAGATTCACTTTCCTATCAAAAAAGATACTGTTGAAGAAAATCCAAGCACTTTTACTGTCCTAAAAGGTGATGACAGATACAAAAATAAAAAATTTTAAAAAAATAAAATAAAAAACACACATCAATGTAAAATCAATACATTCATCGTTCCACTCAGAATCTAAAATGTCCAATGTATTTTACTTAAAATTCACAAATATCAGTTTTATGTCAATTATCAATTATCAAAGTGAAATATCAAAAATATAAGGAAGTAAATAATAATACATCGTAAATCACAAATATCTATAGAGTATAAGTACCTATAGAGTGCCTATAATATTATGCAATAAGTTATAACTTATAACTGTTGACAAATTGGTATATCTCTTTCAATATTTCTCCACTTAAATATTCTTTTACTTAAAAATCAAAAATATCAGTTTCTATTCACAATTTTTTGAAAATATTAATCTTGACATCTGCTGTTACATTGGCAATAAGACCAATTTGAAAAAATAATAATGAATATTTTGCCGTATACCTAATATGATATTTATTATGCTGAAATTAATTACAACTGCAGTGATTCTTGTGTAGGTAGGTACCTTTAAAATTTGTCGTTTTTACCATGTCATTTTTTACCTGCCGTTTTGTATTAGATTCTGAGCGGAGATATGAATGTATTGATTTTACAATGATAATGTGTGCTTTTTTATGTTTTGTGAATGTGTACAGAAGTAAGTAGGTAGTCAAAATAAAACTTATCATTTTCTATACACCATACAATTTTAAAAATATTTGGACTCATGTTAAGTTATTCCTAATATTCGATTATTATTAATTTATTTAAATTAATGTCGATCTAAAAATTTTAAAACATTTTAGTTTTAAAGTTTTAAAACGAAATTGAAAACGTAGTGCAATGTTCATTATAAGTTGTTGTTGGTGGAAATTAAAAAAAAAGTCGATTGTAAATCAACAATCATTTTTATGAACTTCTGAAGTTCGAATTTAAAATTTAAAACATGGTTCCACGTAAGTAACTAAATATTCGGCAACCAAAAAATCTTAAATATATACCTACCTATGTACACAGTTTTTTATATAGTCATTTTAAGTTCAAATTTGGACGTAATTAGAGATTTTAAAGAGGAATAACGATTTTAGTTTTGTTTATTATGTATAAGTAGGTATTACATTTTTTTAAATGTGTAAAACGTGCTAAAAAAAATGATTGTGTGCATGATATATTGATATAACATGATTTACATAAAATAGTGCCTAATTAAATTAATATAGATATTGTAAATATGATTTATGAAGATTTGGCACGATATGGCTTTAATAAATACCTACCAATTGGGCTACGCTACTTATGTAGGTACCTAGACATTGGTGTATGCTGTATATATAAACTGAAATAATTAATTTATAATTTTAAGATATATTCAACTGTCTGTTGTTTCTATACTAAATGTTTAATCTATATATTTATAAATATATTATTTTTAAGGTATTTAGTTTTTAATATAAGGTTAAATATAGGTTATACCATTGATTAAATATACATAGATAGCCCACGCCGTGTGATTTATTGGCATCGATTTTTGAATGGATTTGGATCTGAAATATTTTAGTTCTGGATTTCTGCCACCAGGTGGTGATTTGATTTTAAATTTTAACCTTTTTGCAACTAGGATCACTCGACCAAAGGTTCGAATTTTACAATGTGGATGATAAGATTATAAAATATTGATTAGAGAAAATATGAATAATATGATTCTAAATCAATATAATAAAGATTTCCGAATGTTTGCGGTTTGTCAATTGTCGGGTATTGAATGATAATTGTTAACTTGCAATAAGTAATAAACTGAACCTGGAATTTGGGAATAAGTATTAACACAACCTAAACTCTTGAAGTTGAAACTGAGTCGTAGTCTGGAAGTTTATCTGTTATAACGTTAACATCAAAATGTCTCGTGGAAACAAATGTGTTTATTATTTATGTGGGAAGAATCCAAGACATAATGCTAACTTAAGTTTATTTGGATTTCCAAAAGATTTAGAAAGATCGAGACAATGGATTAAAAATTCTGGTAAATTCGAGATACCCATATATTTTGTTGCAATACATTGTAAAACAAATTTAAATTGAATAATTAATTTAAATTAATTAAATTAATTTTAATTATACTTCAATATGCTATATTATGCTGTATACCTGTATGTATTTTTTTCTATGAGTATGTGTACACATTTTATAGCAGTAAAAATTCTTCGATATTTAACTTTGAGGGAAGTTTCTAGTTAAAAATTGAGTGTAGTTTGTCAACATTGATAGTTTCAAATATTTTTCAAAATTATCAGTAAAACCAATGGTGTGTACCACACTACCACTCCGCTGTAGAGCATTGAGTGGATCACTGTAATGGGTGTGTTAAGTTTGATTTCAATGATATATCATTGTATCTATCATTGATTATATTTAAAATACTTTTTATTTTATTGTATATATAGGTGGGTAATTAATGATAATATCAAAAAACCAATACTGAGCCAAAATAATATGTTAACCCAGGATATTTTATAATACAACAATTACACTTTATATTTGATCCGCTCAGGATCTAAAATTTAATATATATTATCTACATCAATTTATTTTGTTTTTATTTTACCAAATTATGTTAAACCAAATATAATTTATATGAATAGTTAAAGTTATTATTCGATATTATTCAATCCAAAGAAATTAATTGTTTGAATTTCATAATATTTAATATTATAATTTCTATGACTGTCAATATTTTTACCTTTTTTTACAGGAAACACTGATCTTATACATTTAGAAATTGAAGATTTAAGGAAAAAAAAAATTTGTTCTGATCACTTTTTAGCTGATGATTATTTAAATTTCTCAAAAAAAATTTTAAAGCGTAGTGCTGTACCAGTGCCGTATGAACCTGTAGTGCCGTTTCATGTACGCTCACCAAAAAAACTCTACACATATCCTTATAAATCTTCTGAGAATATGTGCAATTTAGATCCATCTTCAATTTCAAATTATAAATCAACTCCTCTTTCACCTTCATCATTTAAAACTCCAGTCAAACAAAAATTATCATTTATTGATAATTCTGATTCATGTTGTCTTAACTTTGAATCGCCAAAATCTATTCATTTGCTAACACCAACAAAAACTAATTTAACAATAGGATCAAAAGATAACACACCAATTTTAACTCCAAAAACTCGATCATGGTTAGATAGTACACTTAATATGCCAGAATCTTCATCTAATTTTGAAAAACAAATTCAGAAACTAACAGAAACTACAAAAAAACAATCAAATTACATTAAAAAAATGAAAGAAAGAATGGAATTTAAACAAAAAGTGATTTCAAATAAACGTTCAACCATAGCAAAACTTAAAAAAAATCTTAAAAATTCAAGACATTTATTTAAAAACAAAAATATTTTTAATTCTTCAAGTTTTCCATCAACCGATTCTCAAACTCTGGTTAAAATGCAAATCCGTCAAAACATCAGTAGAAAACCATGGACAAACCTTGAAAAAGATTTTTCCCTTAGACTTTATTACAAGTCTCCATCAGCTTACAAATTTTTAAGATCAACAAAAATTAATTTACCTGGTTTAGCAACAATTAAACGTTGGGTTGGTGCTTCTAAATTTAGGCCTGGTTTTAATTCTAATTTATATCAACAAATAAAAATGAAAGTTAGCTCAATGACATATGAAGAAACATTTTGCACCTTAATATTTGATGAAATGAAAATTAAACGATTTTTAGAGTATTCAAAGGTTTTAGATACTGTAGAAGGTTTTGAGGATTTAGGAACTTTTGGGAGGACTTCAGCTATGGCAAGTCAAGCTATGGTTTTTATGATAAGAGGAATTTATTCATCGTGGAAATTACCAGTATCATATTTTTTATCTTCTACATCGATGAAAGCCACTACTCTTTCAGAAATAATTTTAGAACAGATTAATCAGTTGATGACTTGTAAGCTCCATGTGAAAGCAATTGTATGTGATCAAGGACCTAACAATAGATCTGCTTTAACCAAACTTGGTTTTACTAAGGACAAACCCTGGATTGAAGTGAATGGAAATAAAATATTCTCAGTTTATGACGTTCCACATCTTATAAAAAATATAAGAAATAATTTTTTAAGTAGTGATTTTATATTTAAAAATAATAAAGTTTCTTTTCAAGATATAAAAAAAACATATATGATTGATAAAAGTAGTTCAACTTCTCGTTCTCTTTTAAAAATTACTGACTCTCATATTAATCCCGGCCCTTTTAAAAAAATGTCATGTAAACTGGCCTTACAAATATTTAGCAAGTCAATGTTTGCCACTATGGACAATAAATGCAATATTGGGTGTGTATGAAGAACAAAAGAAAATCGGTTTTCATTACTTGTTAACTGCTCGCTTAAATCAAGATGCTATTGAAAACTCATTTTCAGTTTTTCGGCAAAAGGGTGGATATAATAATAATCCAACTGCAAGGGCTTTTAGAATAACTTTCAAAATGATGACAAAAATGCATCTGATGAAACCTTCAATAGCTTCAAACTGTGAGGCCGATAATGACCATAATATCTTAGAAGTTGATTCATATACAAATGTATTGGAAAATAATGACAACAATGATGATTTAATGGATAGTTCATCTTTGTCTTTTTCATTTGATGATGATGAATCTATTGAAATTCCTATGGTATCTCTGTCTAAATGCTCTGATAAATATTTTAGTGGATATTTGGGTAAAAAATGCATTGAAAAATTTAACTGTAAAAAATGTCAACAATTTATGCTAACAGCCACACCAATTAATTTTAGTGATGAAGATTATTTAATTTTTTGTAGAGCATATGGATCAAAATCAGGTCACTTTGGCTTGAATGTACCAACAGATGATTTTACAAATTATATTTCACATTGTCAAAAATTACTGGCTAAAATTGTTTTAAAAACACCTCATAAACTACAAATTGGATTAAGTGTTAAAAAGTTGATTGTTAAAAAAATATGGCCCAATCTTGATATTGATTCAGAATGTACATCTCATTTAGAATTTGTTACAATGCATCTTATTGAATGTAAATTGTTAAGAGATTTTAACTGGAAATCAAGAAATATGAAAGTTCAAACCTTATCAAAGTTAAAAATATTAAAAAATGTTTGATCAAATTTAGTTAAGTATACAATCAATGTGTTTTTTTTTTAATTGTATTTTATTATACTTTACTTCTATATTATTAATTATAAGGTAATTTATTATAAACGACTTAAATAGTTCAATGTATAATAAATAAATAAGTCTTCAGCTGGAATTTCAATTCCGAAAAAAAAAAGTAAATTAAATAGTTTTAAAAAGTTACATAATATTGTATTATATATCGGTTAACTTTAACCGGACATAGTATAAGAACTAGCCTAATAATAATAATAATTAATAAATAATAATAATAATAATCTTTTAGATTATTTCTTATCTCATTGATTATTTCAAATTTCCAAGAATGAACTCTGAACAGTCTGAACTGACGACGATTTTCGGCACTACTGTTATCACTGGTATTTTTAATATTTTATTTCCAACATAAATAATTTAATTTTCAACCGTGACTCTGCACGCCCTCTATTGACATATTATGCTATTAATTAACTAGTTTCCATAATGCTGATTGACGTGGGCTATCTATGTATATTTAATCAATGGTTATACCTTATACCGTCAATCTTCATACGTAAAATTAAATATAGGTATGCATAATCGTACAATAAAATGCAAATACTATATAAAATACCTATAATGAAAATTGTAGAGGAGAACTTTTTTAACAATCGTAAGTAGCCAGATTTTCGATATTTCTATTAATTAGTTAAATAATTAATCGATAAAAATTTTTTAAAAAACGTGTTAAATTTCCATGCGATAATATTGGACGATTGAAACAAGATTTCAAAAATCGGAAGAAACTTTTCAAATATTTGTCTAAAAAATATTTTTATGAAATAATATGCACTAACGACTGTAAAAAATCGACTACCTATATGCCAATTATGCCTTTACACCCAAAACATGCAAAACATGCACTATCAAACTTCATATTATTATTACTATTGTTATGAAACGGATTTGTATCTCAGTTATCTAATTAGCATGTTTTCCTGTGTAGCAAAAAAAAACATGCAGATGCATGAACTTACGAGCCTTTCTAATAATTACTATATATACTATATAATATATATGTAGTTAGTTATACATCTGTGGTAATACCATTTAGTATTCATAACCAATGGTTAGGACGTAGGATGCAGGTACTAAGAAACGTGTAATTTTACATTTTTACCATACTATACTGAGAACAGAGTAAGCAGATACAAAAAAAAAATGGTTATAAAAATGTTAAAAAGATTATACTATGACCAATCTGTGTCAGTGTGAACATAATATCATTGATTATACATAGTATGTATTATATATAGTATTATACTATGTATAATCAATGATAATATGTATTACACCTAGGTAGGTAGGTGTGTTTTATGTGTGGTATACCTACCCACACATAAAAGAAATACGAATGTACGACGATAAACGGATTACCCGGTATAATTTTGTAAGTGTGTCATACTATTATAATTTCGTCCTTGAGACGTACTCTTAAGCTTAACAGCCAATTTTATTTTATATATAGTTACGGTGTAGGTATGCGCTTTGTACGACTAAGCATTTAAGTGTATTATTATATTATTAAAGTGCTCGCCACCGAACATTAGTTTTTAATATTCCGTACGACAAAATGGTGTTTATGACATAATAAAAAAAAAACGAGTACGATTTGCTAAAAAACTATTATTAAGCTGATGCGGTCGAACACAATTCATTATACGCGTTCCACCTTCCGTTGTCAATTGGGAATAAAATGATAATTAAATAATTAACTCGTATATTACAATAACAATAATAACATAGGTGAATAATGAGTAAAACTTATCTGCTATCACAATCGCGGGGATAGTTATCAATAAAAACACGTTATCAGTTAGTCGGTCGGCGGTGTTTAGCCGTTCGTCGCTTATCACTGACCTGCTTTTTGACCTATCTCGTATCTCTCAAGCAAATGTTAGTTGTTAGTTTAAAAGCTTAGATTTTTATGTTTTCATCATTGATCTTTTATTAGAAAAGTTCTATGATTCCTTTTAGAATTCACAATATAATTTCACATTATTCAAAATTATTTTTCACTTCCATTAATTAATCGGTCCCAGTTCATAAATAAATATAAACACTCAATGCCTTACTTTTTGTCTATATTTTATTAGTTACCTACCTATATTACAAATTTATTTTAGCTAATTATCCATAATAATTATTCATGGGAAATCTATATGCAAAAGTAAGTAAAAATAATTTAGTTTTTATGTAATGGTTCCCTTGTAAATTTCTTCTATACAATTAACTTCAGCCAATATATTGGGTTTCATTTTAGTTATATTAAAAATTCTTTTGTATAATAAAATCAATCAGTCAAATTAGATTATTACCTATATAATAAACATTAATTCTATTGGTGATAAAATGCATGATGTTGAAAATGTTTTTTTTTTTAAATTGAAGATACTTTAATATGATTTAATTACAAAATCGTAGGTATATCAAAACAATTTTGAATACCTATTCTTTTATTATGTTTTTACATTAGGTACTCATTTTATATTTCTCACAATTACAATAACATAATATGCCTAATGAATGTGTATTTTATTATTTACATAATTTTATATTTTCCTTAACTTATCAATTTTTGGTATTATTTGTAAACATTTTTATTTATCCCCTAATAATTTTTAGTTATTAGTTATCACAATATTATTTCCTACATAACCTATACCTTCTATGAGCTAATAAATAAGTACACATCAATGATTTCATTGATATAAATTATATATATATTTTTTTTAATTTGTAGCCTTACCATGATTTCAATATTAATCAAAAGTTGTCACTACAAGATTTTAAATTGCTGGGAAATCAAGAAGTGAGTTTTTTAATTATCTACTATAACTATTTCGTTGACAATATTGTTGACCCATAATAATTAATCTACTAGGGTCTAGGAGTCTCTGATTTGGTTTACTCAATATTTTATAAATTATAATATAAAAAAGTTTACACATTGTATACCAATTTGTATTTACTGTAAAAATGTCGCCTGGTAAACTTTGTTACCTTTGATATTATCTTGTATGTTACCTGCTAATTAATAATTAGTTAGTTAAATTGTTATTTTATGTGTTCATTAATATTTCATTGGTAAATAACAGTTACAATAACACTTAAATTGTGGTCTGTTGCATTTAAGACTCACAATTGTCATCTAGGCTCTGTACATTTTACTGGTAAAAGTAAATTTAAGTATATTGTAGAGTATGTTTTTACCACTAATTTATTTTTACCAACAAAATTGTATTATTATGATTTCAATGGTTGCTCTAGTAAATAATATAACAATAAAATTGCTTAAAGAACAGTTAATTTAATGGAACGAAGATGACTCTTTCAATATATAATATAATATTATAGTTATTTATTTATATTTTTAGTTTGCCTACATAATTAAAGTTTTATTGACCTTATTTGTTTAAATATTAATTTCAGAATTGTATCATTACCAACTATAATAATTAATGTTTCATAAAACAATAAAATAACTTAAAAAATTGAATTTAAATAAAATGGGTACTATTCGATTATTGTACTCTGGAGTACTCTGAGGTCACTAAACACACACTACGATGTCACATTAAAAACTACACACTCATCTCAGTGTTCGATCGTTCGTGTTTACCATATTTAAAAATGTGTTAATCGTAATAGGTACATTACGATAAGATATCTGATATTTCAATCGATAAAATCAAACCTAGAAATAATTGAAAGTATAACAAGTGGAGTGTCACAGTCGTTTGTTATTGAAGAACCCGTATATAGCAGCGTTAAAAATACATCCGGTGGACCCCGCTGACCACACAATATTATACTACATAAGTCGTGAATTATTAAGTATTGGCTAATGGCTTACTCATGATAACCTTTCAATCATTCTGAACTCTAAAGAAAAGACGTTAACACAGTAAAATTGTCTAAATATGTGAGAAAAAATTGAATAATTGTGAAATATGTAAAAACATGTATTTATGACAAAATATGTAAAAATATGTAGTATAAAATATAGCTTATTTTATCAAAAATCTTATGAAACAAATTTATCACTTGCCGAAATTAATTTATCATGTCGCAGAGAAAATATGTATTTACATATAAATCCGAGCAATTAGTGATAACTGATGGGTGATGACCAATAAATGCCAAATATTTTTACAAAAATAGCATTTTTCAAATCAAGAATAGGATCTAAAAACCTTTTTCTTTTAAATTCAAATTAACTAGATAAGAAAATAGGTTTTAAATAGTCATAGTTTGGACTACCTATTTAGCCAATAATAATAACTTTGTCACAGTATGATAATATTTTACAATATTTAATTTACTTTACCTTATTACTATTAATTATCATATTACAATAATATATTGATTGGCTCCTAAATTAATTATACTTTACATAAAAAAAAAATAATTAAAATGATTTTATTTATGGTTTGGATTAAATTAAATTAAAATTAATATACAATTAGTTGTTAGTTAAATAGTTGAAAAATGATCATTAATTATCATCTAAATATATTTACAGGCAAGAGTTGATCAAGTGCACATGCATGGATATTCAAAAACAAAAGATTTCATTCTTGAATCATCAATTAACTTAATGTTTACATCAAATTCTTTGAAAAATGTAAGTTTTCTATAAATACTGATACAGATACTTGCATATTACCTGGTATACCTAAATAGTCAGATATTTCTACCATTTCAATATTTGATTTAAATTATGTGTCACCTTTTTTTCAGATTATAAATAATGCAGAAATTGTTCGTAAAAATTTAATGAGCTTAAATTGTTTTGAAAATATTAGTGTTAATATAGATGTAAGTAGCGGATCAAATTCAACTCCAAACGGATATAAGGTATTTTGAAAATAATATAAAATTATTCTCATGTATTATCTAATTTCTATTTGATGTATTATAGGTTACTTTTAATGTACAAGAACTGACATTTGCATCTAGTATACTTCATTCGGTTGCAAGAGATAATGAAGGAATTGTTAAACTAGGTTTTAAGCTAAACAATATTACTGGCCATGCCAATCATTTTAAAATAGAATCATCAATTGGAAATGGTGGCACTCAAAAGTATGATGCTTGTATTTCCAAACATATTCCTGGGACTATATCTTCATGGTTTGTATAAATTAAATTTAACTTAATTTAGCTATACAATTCAGAACTTAGATTTCAATAAACTAAACAATCATTTTTTTTTAACATTTAGTATTTCTGGACATATATTTAAAAAAAAGTCATACTGGAATACTGTACATGGAGTTTTTGATGAATGGGGAACTCTATTTGACTTACTATTTCTTTCACCTTATAAAGTTGGTACCTATACCAAATATTTTTGATATTATACATTAATTTATTAACAATAAAATTTCTTTTAAATAATTTTTAGAGTCATTTTAGTCAAAATTTACAGTATGAAGGTGTTATACGTGATATAAATATGTTATCTAAAGAAAGTCCATTTAAACTAAGAGAAGAATCAGGTTTCTCGGTTAAATCTTCTATTAAACATATAACTACAATTGATACAAGAGATTCCAAGGTTCTAGCTAATGAAGGCGTATTCTTTCAAATGGTTATGGAAGTAGCTGGTTTTGGCGGTGACGTTAAATTTTTGAGAAATTATTTTACTAGTCAATTTTATTCGAAAATCACTAAAGATGTTGTAAGTTTATTATTTGCTTTTATTGATAATTATTTATTATTTATATGGAAACTGGAAAGTAATATTTTTAAAACTTTTTATGAAGGTATTTCAAGGCTCATTTGGCGGAGGAGTACTTACTGATTTAGGAACATTTAAAAAGGTTAACATGATGGATAGATTTTTCCTTGGAGGCCCTATGACATTACGTGGTTTCCAATCTCGAGGAATCGGGAACTTAAATGATAACGTGGTTGCTGGTGTTACGGTAACACATCAAAAGATTTACAAAAATATTGTATGTATAAACAACTATAATCAGTAAAATAAATGTATTTTATGATGTTACAGAGCTATTGGGTTTCTGCTGTCCATATTTACGTGAAACCACTTTTTGGCATGGAAAGTAACCGAATTAATGAGGCAATCAGGCTACATTTATTTTGTAATGCTGGGAATATATCATTCTTTGGTATAAAGTTATTAATATATTATAAATTATAGCATCTACTATTAATTAATCAATATATTGTACATCACTATTTTTAAAGTACATTTGTTATTTTTAGGTAAAGACACTAAATCCAGTTTGGAAAGAACATTTAAAGGATTCCGGTTATCAACTGGTTTTGGGGTAGTTGCTCGAATTGGTAATTCAATAAGATTTGAGTTCAATTTATGTTCACCACTTCAGTATTCAGCTGGTGATAGAATTGTTGATGGTTTTCAATTTGGAGTTGGAGCAAACTTTATTTAAAACAATAGGACCAGAATCTCTCTTTGTGCTAGTTACCTTAATTATAATAAAGTATGAATCAATCATATTGATTTAAGGGGCCTGCTCGCGATTTTTCAAATTTTCCGCAATTCTATAAAATTTGAAAATTAAATTTTATATTTTAGTTGCCACCTCAATTATAAGACTTTTCCACTAATCTACTACCCAATACCTATTTAGGGGGGGTTGATAGGGTGTATTATATCGGTCAAAACACAGTTTACAGGAAAAACTCTCACACCTCGTAGATTGGTCCGATTTCCGTAATTTTTTTTTTGTTAGATAGAGGAATATTTTTTACAGGGCGCATTGGACTTCGATTTTTGATTACGTCGCTAAAAACTAAAAATAATACAAAAACTAAAAAGTTGTAAAAATTGATTAAATTCAAACTTGTAACATAAGACTTAGAAAAATAATGTTGAAAATCCAAGTCCAATGCGCCCTGTAAGAAGTCTTCCTCTATCTAACAAAAAAAAAATTACGGAAATCGGACCAATCTACGAGGCGTGAGAGTTTTTCCTGTAAAGCATGTTTTTGAGCAAAAAAACAGGTCGCGTGCAGGCCCCTTAATATAAAACGATAACTTATTAATTTATTTAGTGTATCAGATACATCAGTATTATTTTATTGTACCTAATTTATTGTTTTATTTATATTTATATTTATATTTTTGTTTTTGTTTTTGTTTACTGTTTAATGTAATCAATATAAATGTTTAAACATGAATATTATAAATTCAAGTATAATGTACTTATTTAGATTTTGACTGATGTTGAATAATATAATAGAAAATTCATTTTTAATTGTATTTTGTTTTTGTTTTATGACCTGACGTTTTTATATAGTCTAAAATAATAATTTAAAAACTAAACCTGCCTACTTTTAAAGAATAATAAGTATGTTTTTTTTCAATTACACAAGTTATTTCAGTTGCTTAGATATTATTTATGAAAACAGATTTATCAAAGTATTAAAATACCACAAAATTATAAATAACAAATAGAAATGTATTGATTCAAACTACTCATATTTGTTCAATTTTAAATGTAAGTATTCTAAACTTTTATTTTAAATGGCAATCTTGTAATTTTTTTTACATTGATTTTTTACAATATTTTAGTTATTAAGTTATGAACATGCTTATAGGTACTTTAATATACTCGCGACTCATTCAAAGAATTTTAATATTAAAATTAACAAACGGACAATATTTTTACATATAGGCATTACGTTAGAAATAATTCAGTAAGTCAATTATCGTTAACAATGAAGGTAATGACACAAAATAGGTTGTGCTGATTGCTGATAAGCACCAAAGTTGTTGTGTTATATGTTATTACCTATGTTTTGTACATAAATGTGAGTGTTGTATATTCTTAAGTGTCTATAAATTGTTCAATAATTTTTATTTTTATTTACAATTTAATAGAGTAAAATAAAAGTATTTCAATTAGTTTATTTGACTATTTATTAAAATACATTGCTAGGCTGCTATTCTACAGACCACAGTATGGTAAAATGTTAATACTAATTATTATAGTTAAACAAGCAACTTAAATCCGTTATAAGTGTTGTAGAATTGTTTTTAAAAATATTTATTATTTATAATATATTTGGGATAATATTATTTTTATGCCATCTTATCTGATCAATGTTCTTGAATGACAAATATCTATAATAATATAATATTATGGCCAAGTGAGGTATCTGCAAGTCCAAGCCTGGGTATACACACGTTTAAAAGTTAAGTTTTTTTAACTTTTAATTTAACCTTTTAAAATTTAATTTTCATTAACTAATTTTAACTTAAATTATTTTAATTGGTATAAACTTAATAAATAACGAGTTACTCTTAATCAAATTCTAGTTAAGTTAATTTATAAAGAATTAAATAATAAATATAATAAAAATAAGAATAATTATTGATACTACATAACCATAATATATTACAATAGGGAATTAAAAATATAGTTAAACCAATTTCTTGTTCCATTAACCAGAATTCTTCAAGAAAAATAACTCAATTAAATACATATAGATATAGCAATAGCCAATTATATTATAACATATAGGTGTATCGAATATTTAAAGATATACCATATCATACTGCAGCATACGGGCATATTGTAATAATAATAATTAATAAATACTACTAACTAATAAGTAATAATATGATATTATTTAATTTTATTGATATAGATACAAATCAAAAATGTACAATTCTCAAGAACATAATATTATAAAATATTTTCGGAATAAATAAGTTATTTTTAAATTAAAATTAATTGGGTTATGCTCATGTATATTTATATTTCAAATGTTAATATTTATAAACAGTCAATATTGTCAGTAGACAAAATAGTCATAGCCCACATGGGTTCACTTTTCGTTCTCGGCTCTCACCGTGTTTCAGTTTTTGTGTAATTATTAGTGTCCAGTGGAATACGTTTATTTTTCTTTTTTTTGATTAAATTATTAAATTATAGAATTTTTCATTTTCAATTCTCTCAATACATTCAGTCTACACTAACTGGATACTTGGTCTGTGTAATATGTATAATACTTATCTGTATTAATAAATCAAATGATTGTATTAACTTGCCCAGGCTTGTGACTGCAACACACAATTTTAAATTTCAAATTTGATTGCTTAATCTTGATTAAAAAGTAATTTGAGATTTGATTACCTTTGAAAACTACTTAAATACAGTTAAGCTTTAAATTTATAAGAATACTAAAATTAGATCTTATTTACTTTAGTCTGTCCGTCTCTAATACTAACTGCAACTTAAAAATTTAACTGGAAGTTTAGAAGATTGCCTATATTCAACGCCTTAAAAACAGTCAGTTTTGAATCCCTTAGAATTGTAGGTGTTATTTGATAAAGGTCACACCAGTAGCGGATCCAGAAGTGATTCGAGAGGGGGAGGTGCAATTTTTCAAAATTATGAAATAACAAAAATGTGGAGCCCTGCCCCGTGGAGGAGAAACAAACGGAAATGTCAAAAACATTTTACTTCAATGCTGATTTTTTTTTATCATTTTGTCTCCAAGAAGTAGATCCAGGATATGTGGCTAAGCAAAAATAAAACAACAATAATTTTTATTTTTATCGAACTTTGACATTTTGTTTATCAAACTATCCGAACCCCCCTTAGAAACTTTTGTTGCCGACAACGGTCCTAGACAATAATCTTGCGTTTAAATTGTATACATAATAAGTCAAAAACCACTTTTATTTTAAAAATTGATTATTATTTATTGCATTAAATTTGCCATGCAGTTCGTTTGTAAGACTTGCGGGTTTTGGTTTCTCTTGAGGGGGCCTCGCTACGGTCATTATTTAAGGGGCAACATTTAGGCAATTTCAAATCTTGTCATAGCCACCCAGGATCTAGGTGTTAGTGTAAATGATTATTAGTGTGAGTGAAATTAAATGGTATCCTCTCTCGTAAGTGCATGCACATGTCAATAACTCGATATCCATATCAATTTCACTAACAAATTTTACAAAAAAAACAACATTTGTTTGACAAAATTAAAGTTAGTTAAGTAACGTTGTCTGATTTTTATTCTGGAAAAATATTTGAATTAAGCAGAAAAATGTCTGTGGATCGTACGAAATATTTTCCGTTTTTAATTTTAATTATCATTCGAAAAAGTTGATATTTTCAAGTTTTCAATTACAGTTCACAATAATATAAAATTTAGTTTTTACAAAGTGCTTCGTAGGATATATAGACGAGTTAAATTTTTTTTTTCAGAAACAAAATCGGACAACGTTAACTAACTTTAATTTTGTCAATACTTTAGGTCTTTTCAGCTAAAATTGACGTCAGTAGCGAGGCCCCTTAATTGTTGGGTTCTATAGCTAAACTGCAATTTCATATAATGCTGAATGCATAAATAGTCATGATTTTATCAATAATAAATTATAATCATATTAGTGTTTATTTATCACTAGCTATTCAGCCCAGTGTTGGCCGTGCCAAAGATTCATTTTTTCTTTATAAATATATTTGTAAAAAATTATATACACCATAATATACTATTTTCTACTAATGATAATAGTAGGTAATAGATAATATGTAACCGATGAGTTGAAAAATATTTCATGTGTGAGCTATATCGTCAACTACCTAGCTATAGGGGTTGAAAAAATAAACTATTAACCCCCCCCTAAGTCTCAAAGAAACTATTGGTATACATTTTCATTGAAAACTGTCCAGTAGTTTTTGAGTCTATTAACTTCGGTTTAACACACGGGTTAAAAATATAGTGACGAAGTATCAAAATATTATAATAGACAGGGAGCTACTGACTTTAGCGTCTCAGCCACCAACACCAAATAATTTGAAATAATTAAAACATGTTATAAAAAAATTGACTAATGAAAATTCAGGTTCTAACATGTAAAAACAATTTTTTTAAGTGTATAAAATTCAAGGGTGATCTCGTAGTCGCGTTCGGTAAGCACGTCATGTTAGTGGTTATTCGTAATTTGTCGGTGGTTATTCCCGTGGCATTAAATAACTATTGAGATGACCTCTCTAAAGTACCATCTTGATCCAATTTGCTAAAAGATAAGTTACTATATGTTGAAATCGAAGCACTCCTTCTGATAGAAATTTTGTATACAGGATAAAAAAGGTGGGCAAGTGGGTGTCGCATTGCTGTACAGTAGGTTACAAGTGGGTCACTGTATAATGGATGATATTAAATTTGAATTCAACGATATAATATCATTGTATAAGAAAAACGATTCTGAGCGCAGACGGTATGTCAGTCTATGTATAAGACATATTATATACATATCTATGGTATTAAACAAAAAATTGACCTATAATGGGTACCTATAATAAATTCCAAATTAATCATATCAAAATATCCATTAGGTACTTATAACGCGTTATACATCAACAAAAACCGTGATACTATCATAGATATATAATAGTACACTTTAGAAGTTTCAAGTA